AAGTATCCGAAAAGATACTCAAGTACAGTAACTAATTACATTACATTACTCCAATATTTTACACTTCTGGCAATAATCAATACCTTAGCAGAGGATCAATTTAAATAGATGTTGATAAGAGACAGTTACTTATGACCTTCCTGAAGCAAGACCTGTCAAAAGCTAAAATCATCCCTGTTTTATTGTATTAAGGGTATGACTTTACGGCACAATTAAAGTTCAGTGTTATCTGGCTCATTACAATAAGACTTAGAACTTGACACTTAGAATCTACTTGACATTTCTAAGTGCATTAACAGGTTTTAAAACTGAAGGTAAGTCATCTTTCTCAATACTTGGTAGAGTAAGATGTCTTCTTTGGATTGCGAGGGCACAAAAATAGTCTAATGATGAAAAGGGAAGGAATTGAAAAGTGGAAATGTTTTTATGAAAGATACGTCTTCTTTGATCAACCACTTGATTATGGACAAGAAGAAAAAGATGCAGATATAGCCTGAGGGAAAAAAGTCATTTCTCAAGTCTCAAGTCTGCTTTATTGTCAATTCTTCCACATGTACAGCACATTGACGGACAGAGGAGCATGCTGAGTGCGCACTCTCCTGAAGTCAACAACAATCTCCTTCGTCTTCTCCACATTCAGAGAGAGATTGTTGTCACTGCACCACCCGGCCAGGTGGCTCACCTCACTCCTGTAGTTTGTCTCATCTCTGTTGCTAATGAGACCCACTACAGTCGTGTCATCCGCAAACTTAATAAGGAGGTTGGAGTTGTGTGACGGTGTGCAGTCGTGGGTCAGCAGAGTGAAGAGGAGGGGGCTCAGCACACATCTTTGGGGGGCCCCAGTGTTCAGTGTGATGGTGCTGGATGTGTTGCTGCCGACCCGTACTGCCTGAGGTCTTCCAGTCAGAAAGTCCAACAGCCAGTTGCACAGCAAAGTGTTGAGCCCCAGCTGGACCAGTTTGTGAATGAGCTGTTGAGGGATGATTGTTTTGAATGCTGAACTGAAGTCTATGAACAGCATTCTGACGTATGATTTCCTTGTCTCTTCATGCAGGTTATAAATAAGGCCATGCATTTCTTTTATTTATTAACTCATATGGTGAGTCCAGCATTTGTAAAGGTTGAAATTGACAATGAAAGAGTAAGGTGCGCAAAATTGGCAAAAAACTTGTTTGTAAAGCCTGTTCCACACCACACATGTAAGCAACATGTATTTATTTCAGCACCCATAATAACAGGTTACAGCATTCACACTGCCTACTTAAGCAGAACAGTTAGAGTTTAAGCACTGAGCCTATTTTTGCCATGTGTAGTGCTTTGAACAAAGAAAATGAATTGTAAACATGTTTATCAACATAAACCTGAAATTATAAAGCAAAGTACTTACCCATTGTTTGCAGATGTAAAATGTATCTGATGGCCTTGATTTAAGCTGATTTAAGCACACATTAAAAGGCACATAAACAGTCCTTATTTCAATCTGACTAAATCCTGATGATTTAAGCAGTTTATCGTTATTTTGAGGTTTAACTTTCACATGTAAATTAGATTCCATGAAAATCATGTTTGTACATTTTTTTATTCAAAACCAATTATTTTATAGGCTATTTGAATCATTATTTGTAATATAAAAACAAATTGTAATTAATTATAATTTAATTACACTGCCATTCAAAGTTGCAGGTAAGGGTAGGTAAGATTTTTTATGATGAAATTAATATTTGTGTTCAGCAAGAATACATTAAGTTGACAGATGATAAGGCCAAAATTGACAGTAAAGAGGTTTATAATGTTACAGAAGATTTCAATTTCAAATAAATGCTGTTCTTTTGATCTTTCTATTTATCAAAAAATATTGGATTTTTTTTTGTTGCAGTTTTCATAAAAATATTAAGCAACACAACTGTTTTTTATCATTGATAATAAGAAATATTTTTTAACCATCAAATCAGCATATTAGAATGATTTCTGAAGGATCATGTGACACTGAAGACTGGAGTAGTGACTGCTGAAAATTCAGCTTTCAGGAATAAATTACATTTTAAAATATATGAAAATATATTTTTTAATTAAATATAAATTTAAATTTACCAACCCCCAACTTTTTTTGAACAGTATTGCAAAATACAATTCATTTGTATTATAATGAACAAAAAATGAAATAAAATGAATATAAATTTTATAAAAATATGCTTACATTTGCATTGTGTAACAGGTCTAACTTTGGATGATAAAATGTGAACCTAGTAGGCGTTGAACGACTTCTGATTTTTTGAAGTCGACTTTTATGTGATGAAAGTCGAGTCGAAGTCGACTAGTCGCTGATGACGTCATTAATGAACAAATAAGTCTGGAGTTGTGACAAACAGCTTGTGCACAGCTATGGCATATGACACAGCGCTGCCCACATGGCTGTTGCTCCTATAACAGCTTTTTTATCAGTTCTTTTGTCTTTGGGTCGTTATATTTCTCACAGATTTCTGCTTGTTCTAAATAAGATACAGATAAAGTAGCACAGTAAAGATTACATTAATATGAATGCATTAGTGAGAGTGATTGCGTGTGTGAATTAATTCTACCTGGCAGCGTCTCTCTACTAGTAGTGAAGCTGTGGAATTTACTAGTTATTAAGAAATATATGCTTGAACTTTTACGTTTCTAAGCTATTTTATTGAAAAATCACAGAACAGTGTTGACAATACATTTCCGCACTGAATGATTCTATGCGCGTGATGTACAAGCTACTGTCTGAAGCCTATGTGTGTGCGTTACAGTGCAGCAGCGCATTAGATTAGAACGGCGATTAACTTACCTGTACAATAAGCTGTTTAAAACGTGCATTCTCCCGTTCAATTTCGAGCATCCAGTAATATAATCACACATGTCTTGTGGAGCGCTTTCAGAGTATGCATTTATTTGTCATTTGAACTGTTTGGAAACGGAGCGTAAATGTGAAAGTCCTTCAAAGATTGCTTATCCTGTTGCGCCCTCTATAGGACCAGCGACTAGTCGACGTCAAGCTTAAAGCGTCATGGCAGAGCATTGAAGTCGACTAGTCGATTAGTTGATTAGTTTGTGCAACCCCTAGAACCTAGGGAGGGAGAAGCAAAGAGCATTTAACACAAACATAATAACTTTATTGTCGAAAGTCTCAATTTGAGTTTCTTATAGACACAGGTTTATACAATATAATCAATAATGGATAAGAGATTCTTTCATATTCTCTTTTGATAACTGACAAAGAGGTCTCATTAGCTCCACTCTCAGGGAGACTGATAGAAAACGTGGGTCAAAATGAACATTATAATGACCAACACAGAATCACTGGAATGAGCAGCTCTAGTGTAAAGCCACGGCTCTGATGAATCGCTGTAGGGTGATGTCAGAGCACCACCACAACAGTTAGACAGGAAGACAGCAAGCGTAAAGAGCCTGTGGCTATCAAACCAGTGGCAGAGGCCCGGAGGACAGTAAGGAGGGTTGGAGGGGCTCAATCACCATGTAAGCAAGCAGCACAGGCTGGGGCAGTCAGTGAGGGCGATCCAAACAGATGTGTTCATGGGGCATCAGTGAAAAGCACCGATTGTGACGTTCTGGGCACTGGCCTGGCAGAATTCCTGCTAAGTGCTGGTAAATATGTTTGGAAGAATTGCTAGCAGGGCAACGCTTTTTTGAATGTGATGTTTATGCTATTTTTCCTCCTCTTGGTCCATTGACACAGAGGTTATAGACTTCTCTTGCTTGGATCATTACAAGTAACAGTATAAACAATGTCAACAGTTGAAGGACAAATAGAGCAGTTCATGAGGCACTTTTTATATCAAAGAGGGTTTTTTTTTTTGGTTCTTTGACTTGGAGAAGTATATAAAACAGATGTTAAAATGCAGTCGGAAAAAAATTACAGTTCCACGTTTTTTTCTAAATAGTGAACAGAAGAGTTTAAAATATGCATGAGGTATAGGAAAGGCACATAGCCAGCCTTGTCAGTGTCTTTCCCTTGCCATAGACGATAACTTCATTTAAAGAAACAATTCACCCCAAAATGAAAATTCTGTCATTTACGCACACTAATGTCATTCCAAACCTGTTTGACTGACTTTCTTCTGCAGGGGAAAAAAACTAACAAACAGATTTTTTTTTTTCAACTGTTTGTGTTCATATATTCAAAGTCAATCACTTTCATTGTATAGACTGTATAGACAAAAAAACACTAACTTTTGTGTTAAGGTACAGTCACATTTACTGCTTTTCAGTGAAGCTTCAACTGTTTTCGCTCATATACTCAAAGTGGTGTCCAAATCAATAGTTTGTCCCCACTGACTTTCACTGTACAGACTACATAGACTAAATCTTTAATCTTTAAAAAATATATATTTTATTTTGTGTTGGGGGGTGTTGACATTTACTGTTGTTCAGTGAAGTTTCAGCTGTTTTGTCCATATAATCAAGGTGGGGTCCAAAACATCAGTTTGTCCCCCATTGACTTTTATTGTATAGACTGTATAGACAAATAACACTCAAGCCATTTTTAAAATGTCTTCTATTGTGTTAAGATGTGTTGACTTTTATTGTTGTTCAGTGAAGTTTTAACCTTTGTGTCCATATCAAAGCCAATAGGGCCCAAAACAATATTTCATCCCCATTGACTTTCATTGTATATACCTAAGAACACTCAGACATTTTTAAAATGTCTGTTGTGTTAAGGAGCGTTCATATTTACCAATATTCAGCAAATTTTTGCAGGCAAAATCTAGCCATTTCAATAGGAATCCATGAGATCACATTAAGGGCAAAATATTTCCCCACACAGATTTCAGCTACAAACTGCTCACACGGATTTTCACGTTGACCAGCAGGAAGCCATTTGGTTTGAAGGTGACTTCTGTGTGAACTATGCTTCATACATGGCTAAACTATTGCACAGAAGAAAGTAAGGCAAACAGGTTTGGAACAACATGACATTTTTCATTTTAGATTGAACTATTCCTTTAAGTGCCATGCCTGAAATAAATAAACTGTGAGAGTGTGAAAATGCTCTCAGTCCAGTCTGTCATTTAGTGCCTCAGCGTGTGCTTCATTTTCCGTCTTTCCCGTGTCCTTACACTCATGCTCTTTAAATATCCCAGCCAGTGTTTTGAAGCGAGGACCCCAGTCACAGAGATTTCTGTAATCCTCCTTGGGTTCAAGCACCCAGGACTCAATGGAACTGAGAGACTCGGCCACCGATCCCTCTCCCTCATATGCATACGTGACCAGAGAGTCATACGGAGGTGTTGAGTTCTCCAGAAGACAGTGATGGATGTAGGCTCGGATGTCCTCGCTGTCCTCGTTGGGCATGCACGCACTAGCCCGATCGGGCTCATCCTCTGATCTTATTTTTTGCAGCTGCGCCGTCTCTTTGATGCCTTTGGGATTGCGTAACGTACCTATGTCAAAGGCCTGGGTGTCCTCTTCCCCACCCCCCTCATCGTCGTAGTGGATCACATTGTCCCGGATGTCCTCTTTAGAAGACATCAGAGTGCCCTTCTTCTTGTGTTTTCTCAGGCCCATATAGAGCACCACCATCACTGCAAAACACCAGAGGCGTAATACACGTTGACATGCATACAGTACAGGACCTTTAAGTGACAACAACTAGTGAAAAAAGGGGTGGTCACATGTTCCGGAGCCATTAGCTGATTTCTTTTTTTGTTCTGACGTGGGTTTTCAAAACGGGACTAAAGAGAACGGCAGCCCGAGGGTAGCCATAATGCAGTTTTGCTGTCTGTCACCATCGTAGTGCCTCGGTTGTGTGAGAGAAGGGGAGGTAGTTTTTCTGAGCTTTCATCTCCATCCTCAGAGGCAGACAGCGCTCGCTCGCCCCACTCCACTCAAAGAAAGACACGAGAGAGAAAGAGACAGGGAGGCACAAGCGCTGCTGCGAGAATTAAAGATTAGACCTAAAAATTCACGGTTTCTGAAGAAGCAGAGGGGGAAATTTGGCTGAATCAACCTGCATGTGTTATTAAGGGGAAGGTTTTTTCCTGTTGTTATTTTCTAGTCTTTTAGAATATAATATTGATCATATTCGAATCATTATTTCTGCATCAGCTCCCCCAAGTGGTTGCCGTATAAAGGAATCTCTCTTTTCTGTAACGCTGCCAAATGAAAATATGAAGTCAAAGCACATCACTTCACTGCACTGTCACTCTCTGCTACAGAATTCACTTACCTAGTACTTATTGCAATACAGAGCCTTTATTGCAATTCTACCTTCCTCAGTACTCTTGTCCCATTACAGCTCTTTTTTTCGCATATAGAAGATTGTTTTTAAATAATTATTATAAAGATGATTTCACATGCTATGCTTTATGTACAGTATACTTTATATTATATGGGTGTTTCTGTAATTATGGGCACTTTGGCTTTTATAAACTCTTAAAACATACTTTTCAGACCTCACTATTTTATTTCATTTGTCCAGCAGTTTATATGCATCACAAAAAAATTGTAAGTAATTTTCTTCTGAAAGTCATGAACATTTCCTCTCAAATTATGTGCTTTTTAATAGCATTCTGTGATGACAATTAATTTTTGTTTCCCTAGAAGATGTTTTTTTTTTGTTAAGGCTGATTTCATTGCTAGCATTAATGTATCTTAAATATACAAACATAAAATAGTATTTTCATGTTTTGCATGATTACAAAATTACAACTTAACTGGAAATTGAGTACAATTCAAATATTTTCTTCACAAGTGATAGGTTGAAATACATTTTTACACAATGATTGCAAAAATGGTTTATGATTTTTATTGATATTATCCTAGTTTTAAACATGTAATTCATGTTTGTATGATTGAAACAGTAAGATTGAAAGTCCGGGTCTGGGACAAAAGTAACCAATAAAATCTAAACTAATGTTCAAGTTTGAAGTTACTAAAGAAATCAATACATTTGTTCAGCAAGAATGTATTAAATTGATCGAAAGGCTCCATTAAAACATTTATTCTGTTACAATAGACTTCTATTTCAAATAATGTTTGAATGTTTGACACAAACTGTCAAACACATCTTACCAGCAAACATACACTCGGTTTTCACAAAACCACCACTGGCTCTGCACCCATTTACCTAAATTCATTACTTCAGAGTTATGTGCCCTCTAGAAGCGTGGGTTCTGCAAGTGAACGGCGTATTATTGTGCCATCTCAAAGAGGCACAAAATCACTTTCACTGACTTTTTCATTAACTGTTCCGTCCTGGTGGAATGACCTGCCCAACTCAATCCGAGCAGCTGATTCCTTTGCCATCTTCAAGAAACGACTAAAAACACATCTGTTCCACCTTTATTTGACCCTCTAAGTCTAGCACTTTCTATTCTATTTTAATTCTACTTTATCTATATTTATCTTCTTTTTTTATTTAAAAAAAGCAAACAAAAAACAACAAAAAAACTAACACTAGCTTTCTATTTTTTTCTATTCTATCTACTTGTTTTTCTTTGTGTGTGTGTGTGTGTGTGTGTATAATATATACAGTATATATATATATATATATACACATACATACACACACACACCTTGCTATGTGTACTGCGCTAGGCTAACCGAGACTTGTCATTTGCACTTATATATTGTTGCTCTTTTGTTAGTTTTGACAGTTTTTATTGTCCTCATTTGTAAGTCGCTTTGGATAAAAGCATCTGCTAAATGACTAAATGTAAACGTAAATGTAAATTTAAATAATGTTCAAAAAATGTTGAGAATCAAATCCGCATATTAGCATGATTTCTGTAAGATTATGTGACACTGAAGAATAGAGTAACGGCTGCTGAAAATTCAGATTTGCCATCAAGACTAAATTACATTTTAAAATATATTCAAATAGAAAATATCTTACAGAATTACTGTTTTTACTGTATTTTTGATCAAATAAATTCAGTCTGTTTGAGCATAAGACTCTTTCAAAAACTATTTTAAAAAGTTTTGAACAGTAATATAAATACTGTATAAAGGCTTTTGTAAATTCATGTAAGTTCTTTATTAAATAATCTGTTAGTTTTAATAAAAATAAACCTCTGGAACATAAAACTCCCAGAAGTTAAACAAATACACATATACTTCTATTATTTGGTTTGCACAATTGTCGGTACTGTTAGTGTCCTGCTATCAGAGCCTTGGGCCAAATCAAATGGCAAACAAAAACGACTTGACTATGCAAACACAAGCCCTGCTTTTTTCTTGTATCTTCTCTATTTATTACATTAAATGAATAAAATGCATATTTCTTTGTCTTGCCAGTATTCTGTTGGACACAAATGTGTCTAACTCACCCAGCAGAATGACAATGCACAGCAGAATGGCCATTAGAGCTCCAGTGCTGAGTCCCATGGGAAAGAAGATGGCTTCCGCATTGCAGGAAATGAGGGAGTCGTCTGTGTCGCAGGTACACACCCGCACCGACACCGTCCCCGTGCTGCTTCGGATCGGATACCCGCCATCCTCCACAACGACCGGCACCAGGTACATGCTCTGCTCCAGTCTCCGGAACCCCCCTCGCCTGGTCACCACTCCAGATGTGTTGTCTGAAATCGAGCCCATGAGACCATCATGAGACTGTCTATAATGCAGATTTAGTGTAGGCCATAAATTATTGTACTTGATGCATTTGCATCTGGAGATAATCAGTGATAATCACAGTCATGCTCTCAGGGATCGTAACCTGCCATTCCAACATTTGTCCACGACAGAATATTATGAATTCACAAGCCACTTATGCAGACTGGCCTGATTCCAGAATTAAGAAGAAAAACGGATCCCTTTGAAGTGGAAATAAGTTCAGAAAAAAGTGGTTCTGGTTAAGGGGATAACAAGCTAACATGAGGTACTCCTGGGAAAAGCATGATATACCTTTCTGAGAACAGCCTTTGACACAGCTGGAGTACAAACAAAACTAGGATGCACAACACTTCAGGCTGTTGAGGAGTGTTTTAATCTCAATAGGTATGTTTCTTCCAACCATCATCTGCAGTGTTAACTACAGATTTAATAGCAACCTTACTGAGGAATTGTATTGGTTAGATGATAGTGTGGCCTTGTAGATAAAGCTTTAGGCTAAAACATTCCTAGTGTGTTCTGCAAGTTTCTATTTTTGTAAGGTACTTAACCCCAGGTCATTCCAGGGGGATTGTCCCGGCACTAAGTGTACATTGTTAATGTCTCATTTGACACACCCATTTCAGGTCTTGGAGCATATATATATATATATATATATATAT